TGAAGGCCGTGTAGTGGCGGAGTATGAGGAGACTATCCCATATCATCCCGTGGATGTCGTAAGAGGCGACAGAGGGAGGATTGTACTGTTACATTTACCTAATAAAAAATAAAAATTCTAAAATTTCGACGTCCCACTGCTGGGCACAGGCGTCCCCTCATTTCTGAGGGTTTTAGGGCAAGGAAGTGTCCGCCGCGCTGCCAAAGAGCGTGTTTGCGAACTTCACATGTCTCCGAAACATTTTTTTTTATTCTTCAGACATGCTTCAGGTTTGTAGACCTCATTGCGGCAGGTTTCCTCACGATGTTTTCCTTCACCGCCGAGCACGTGGTAAATCAGCACTTAAAATTGCAATTAACTCGAACCCGGGTTACTCGCGTTCTGTTATATTTACAGCGAGCGTTAACCATCTGAGCTACCACGGCTCATGTTCAGTAGTGTACCTCAATAGGCTGTAATTATGATTTTATGATTAAATTTATAACGTTCAACGAAGAAATACAATATATTAAATTGTTATGATATTTGTTACATTTTATTATAATTTTTAAATATAATTAGAACAAAATTTTAAAACGGGGTCAGTTTTATTGGATGATTTTAAAATGCATTCGTTCGTGAATCTCAGACTACATTATTACAATTATATACTATATATATATATATATATATATATATATATGATATAATGATATGGAAAATTATGGAGTGAAATAAATAAAAAATCACCTAACTCGTTATTGACACAACTTGTAATCTAAGTTTCACAAAAGGAAATGTCAATTTCTGATTTCGCGTAAGAGCGTCATGGCGTTTGCTGTCACGACATACGAGTTTTATTTTCACTGCCAAGGCGCGCCAATAGATGTTTCATATTTTAACCCTTCAAGCGCCATAAAAATCCCATGTGACAGCACCCTACTTCTTGCCAGCAAAAAAAACAAAACTTCTTGATAGAAAAGTAATCTATATATAATTTATGGGTTAAAGTGCTGTGGGTAGGCGCGACCTGATGAAACTGCTAGGGATGTGACGGAATATGGCCGCGGTCTCATGAGACCGCTAGGGGGTTGATAGGTTAAAAAAACATACTATTTTCAACAGTAAAGGCGATGCAGTACCTCCTGCTAGGAATCCTGTAATAAATAAAACAATTCAAGATTATAATAACCTTACTCTGCGTAGATCCGATCATAAATAATTAAAAGCTGAAGTTACACCGGGTTTACTATGACATCCAAATGTCAGAAACCTCAGGTCCTGCAAAGCACTGTCAATGTTAGGAATAAAAAATAACAAAGTAAAATTAAACTCATTCGTTGCGTTATACAGTAAACAAGACATATTATTGTGTATGTTTGTTTAATTTATAACTTAAAATAAATTTATCGTTTAAAGCTATGGGCCTTACATTAAATGTTTTCTGAAATTTTCTCGACATTTCGCTCAATTGGCTTTTTACGACACCCACGGGATAAAACACGCTGATTGATTCCTTTGTTACACCCACGCGAGTTGTTCCATTACGTCATTGACTAAAAATAGTATTCACTATTATTAAGCATACCTAGGTGGATTGAAAAGTACTCGGCCTAACACAGATCCATTCAATTCTAAAAATCAAGTCTACCCACATTATTTAGTTCAGTTCAGACTAGTTCATTGTGTGAAGTTCGAAACGTGTGCGATAATTAGTTGTGATTTTATAAATTTATTAACAAAGTAATCGGACATAATTTCCGCGAATGGAGCAAATCGAGCAGCGTGCCGTCATTAAGTACCTCCATAAGAAGGGGCTATCATCAAAAGCCATCCATGATGACATGGTCAGTACATTAGGCGATTGTGCTCTGTCATATTCATCCGTCAAAAAATGGATAGCAGAATTTAAGCGTTGTAGAGAGAGTGTGAAAGATAAACCCCGCTCTGGAAGGCCTTCGACGTCAACTACTGACGAAAATATTAAAAAAAGTACTTGATTTAATAATGGGAGACCGCAGATTAAAAATTAGAGAGATAGCCGAGATTATAGGCATCTCTTATGAACGAACTCAAAACATCATTGTCAACGAGTTGGGTTTCCACAAGGTGTCTGCGAGGTGGGTTCCGCGACTGCTTTCAGTTGAACAAAAAAGGACGCGATTGACTATTTCACGCGACTGTTTGGAGTTATTTGAAGCCGATGCAGATGATTTTTTGAATGGTTTTGTTGCTATGGACGAAACATGGGTTCATTACTGTACACCGGAAACAAAACAACAATCAAAACAGTGGAGAAGACCTGGTTCACCACCCCCTAAAAAGGCTAAGTCGATTTTGTCGGCAAATAAGGCTTCAGTATTCTGGGACTCGAAAGGTGTGATTATGATTGATTATCTTGAAAGGGGTCAGACTATAAACTCTGATTACTACTGCACCTTACTACGTCGTTTACGAGAGGAAATAAAAGAAAAACGTCGAGGAATGCTCAGAAGAAAAGTCCTGTTTCATCAAGATAACGCCCGTGTTCACACGTCAGTACAGTCAATGGCTGAAATTCACAACTGTGGCTTTGAACTGTTACCGCATCCGCCGTATTCACCTGATCTGGCACCATCAGACTTTTTTCTGTTCCCTAACCTAAAAAAGCACTTGGGAGGTCAAAGATTTTCGACAAACGACGAGGTCAAAGCAGCTGTAGACGCATATTTTGACTCTAAGGAAGAATCATTTTTTTTCAACGGTCTAAATGCTTGGAAGGGGAGGTGGCAAAAGTGTATTGAACTTGATGGTGATTATGTAGAAAAATAAAAATATAACTGATTTAGTATGTGTTTATTTTCTTGGTTAGGCCGAGTACTTTTCAATCCACCCTCGTATATTTAAACCGAGTTCGAAGAACGAGAAGGGTCGTTTCAACGCGTATGTCAATTTTTTATTTGAGTTCACCGATTTCTCGGAAATGAGTTAATTGATTTTGACGATTTTTGCTTATACGTTTTAATTTAGGGCTGTTCCCAAAAAAAAATTATCACACCTGGCGGGAAAAATTGGGGTGATTTTTTTAGTGTAACTATTTTAAGGATATTTTATTTTAGTTGTTACATTGAGCTTGTGATATTTCTTGGGAAGGGTTTAATTCGGAAGTTAATTATTCTTTTTTTCTTTATGAAGTCGGTAATATTTTTTTGAAGATAAAAAGCTTATTTATGATACTTCTAATCCTAAGTTAATTAGTTAGTCTGCACTAACTTTTAAATATTACCGAAGTTCATTTAACTGTCTGTGGTCGGCGGTCTATATAAGAGTTATTATTTTAGAATTCGTTGAATAAAACGAGTAGGAAAAATTTCATATCGCGACTGACTAATTCCAGAAAACCTATCCGAAACTCGTATCTTAAATTTTACTCAGCGGTAAATAGGACTTGGCCATATGCTTCCAGCATATGGCCAAGTGGACCGTACATCTTACTATGCCGTCACTCCATATAGTGGGGGGGCCGCTCTAGTGTTATAAAGAGTAACACGTTACCAATAGTGGAAAAAACGATAAATCAAATTGTTGTTAAACCTATGAAAAAAGTAGCGGTTATTATAACGTTTTAATTTATCGAATAAAAACTGTTCACTACGCACTTTAGTTTCCTGTAGCTTGTGTTCATCAATGGATTCAAAAAAAGACTAATTAGTCGTTTTTGACTTCCACTTCTAATTTATCGCTGAGTAAAATTTGGGATACGAGTTTTGGAAATGTTGAATTTTAATTTTAAAATAAACATTAAGGTGTTATAGTAAACAACATTAACTTTCTTAGACAAAGTTTAATTATACTGACTTTTCATTTCTAAGCAACATGCCAAAGTCGTTGATAATCTCCTCAGAGACTGTTTCAAGTGGAACCTATAAAATAAAATGTTCGTATATATCTTAGTTTGCTTTGGTGTAAACTCATCGAAACTTAAAACTTAGCACTGACTCTAGAGGGTTCTCTCAACTTGGAATTGAGTTTTCTGAGCGCTTTTATAAGCAAGTTGAAAAACACCGTCCTCTTTTTACAATCAGCGCCTTGTTTGAGCTTTTTGCTTATGTTATTTTTGTAGCATACCAAGTACCTTTCCATGGACCGCTGCGGACTTTTAAATTGGTTGGATATTTTTGTTATGTTTGCTTTGTGTTGCTACGTCATGTCTGTGGTCGTTGTTTTTTAAGCAAGCATGGAGAATTAAATATGAGAGATTTGTAATACATGTAAGTTTTTATGTGGTAGAGTCATGTTGCAGCTATATTTTTCTTTATAGGATAAGGGTGACAAACGAGCACACAGGCCATCTGATGGTTAGTGGATGCTGACGCCCATAGACATCTACATATAACTTCGATTAAGAATCAAAATGCCGATGCGTTGTCACCCTCGAGGACTAAGATGGAATGCTTCGATTTCTGTAAAACGGGTCTCCGGTTCTCTACACTCAACATACGATAAACAGCAGCATTAAGCTGCTATTTGACGCTGGTATTCTGTGAGAGCTTGGTCCTTCCACGGTCAATTCAAGCTACAACCATAGCTACAGCGTAGGTCTACCACATATAACGGTGTAGCACGAATTAGTTGGGTCGACCTGGCAAGCACCGTGCTTTCACAAAACAGCATGGAATAGCATCTTAAAGCTGTTTTGTTTCGTATGGTGAGTGTTGAGAACCAAAGAATGTTTTCCCTGGTAATGAGGCATTATATCTAAGCCCTCAGGTGTTATAACATATCTACATTTTGATTTTTAACCAGGGATTGATGCAGGTGTCTATGGGCCACAGCATCCACTTACCATGAGGTGAATTGTATACTCACTCACTTTCACTTTAAGGCCAATTTATCTCCCACGAAAGTTTAAACATCTATAATGATAATATCTTTTGTATTCAATTTTATAGTAAGTCTTCTTTGGCTAAATCTAGCTATTGTCTCATTAATCTGTATTATTTTTTCTATTATTTTTAACATGATATTATTTTTGTCCACAGAGTAATGGCAGTACGTACATGTCGGGCGAGCCGCGTCGCAAGCGCGAGCCGCCGGCGCGCCCCAACCACATCCTGCTCTACACCATCATCAACCCGGCCTACCCCATCACTGTGGTGAGTTACCTTTATTGTTTTTAAATAAAATAAAACCATTATGAAGAAAATTTACCCGAAGAACATACACCAGTAATTGGCCGGCCTGTTAAAAACAAAAGTTCTCTCTCGACTGCTACGTGGAGTGAGAGACAAGAAAAAAAAACCCACCCCCATTACTGCGTATTTATAAATGTCTAGAGCCTGGCATTTATATTTTGTTTTAAAAGCGCACAAAACAATATATTGAGAAGTCAGTCTAGTCATCATCATTACGCTTTTAAACACAAGATTTCTCAAAAAGCACGACGCTAAACGTCCTGCGTACTGTGAGTAATTAATAATCATCCTACACTACAGTGCGTTTCCGTTGATAGAATTTATAGTAAATAAAGTTTCGTAACAGCCTGAATGAAACGACTTTATAGGCACTACGTAAGGAGCTGGCGAAATTCCAGAAATTGTCAATCCATGCGTAAACAAAATACACAGAGATAAACAAAGCAGAAGACCTGTTGCTGTGTAACCTACTTAGATGTTAGCAACGCGCCATTACATCTTGAACAGATTCTAGTGTCCTTGCCGCGGCGTTTCTCTCTTAACGACTACAAATCACTGGATTTGTAGGCTTTAGCTTAGTGAATTGTATCGAGTTACGTTGATCTAGTGTAAATAAAAGCGAGAAAGAGAGAGAGAGAGAGAGTGTGAGTAACAGAGAAAGAATAAATTGAAGTAATCACTGAACGTTTTATGGTATGGCTCATAGTGGTTTAACCCATTTAGACCGATAATTATTTTTGTGAAAAATTCATGTTTCATTAACAAAACCTGATCAAAGAAAGCCTAAAAACAGGGGGAAAAATATTTAAAAAAAAAATTAATAAGAGGGGGGGGCGACTGAAGGGACGTACCACATATGGTACAGTAGGACTATATGTATGCAAAAAAAAGACATGATTTTACTAATTAGATTTTATTTACTTTTTGGTGTGATACATAATAAAGCACTCTACGTGGACACCGATATTGCACTTGACACATCTTGTAGGACATTGTTTGTGGCATAGGCCACACCTGGTCCTCTTTTCCTGCTTGCTGACATAGTGTTCTTTGCCGTCGTATCGAGAGTCTGATGTTATTGAAGATGGTCGACTAGGACCTGGCCTTTCGCGTTGTTTATTACAATCGATAATATAGTTTGCAATACGACGTCGAAAGTTTAGCAAGTCGATATTCCCTCCATTATGTCTGTACAGCAGCCATGCATTTTGTACAGACATGTCTATACAATGGAGAATCAGAGGCATATACCACTTTTTTCCTCGAATGCTAGTTCGCAATGACGATATATTCTGATCTGATAAATCTACTCCACCCATATTTTTATTGTATTGTTGAATGAGATGAGGTTGAGAAACAGATATTTTCTTTTTTAGTTGCTGAGAATAGCGTTCAGTTTTGTGGACAGGATCAACACCAACTGCATTAGAGCATACTGACACTATACTATTGTCATGCCACTTGCAAATTATAATATCATCAGATATGCGATAATCATAAAAGCCTCTTTCTTTTGTCTTTGCTTCTTTGTTACTTAATAGAGGGCACTTTCCAGATCTATTTTCTCTGATAGTACCAGTTACACGAAATCCCCTCTCAGTAAGTTCATGAACCAAAGGCAAACCGGTAAAAAAGTTATCTATGAAGAGATGGTAGTTTTTTCCATAGCCTAATGTTGCTAGTTGATCTGCATAAGACAAAACCACACTTGCACCAAGACCAAGCTGGGAATATTGGGCATTCGTAAATGTAGAAGCACCTTGGTATGGTTCAAACCATGCAATGTAACCTCCTGATGTTGCACCAACCCATAATTTGTATCCATATCTTATAGGCTTGCCTCTAATAAACTGTTTGCAGCCGTGATGACCAAAATATGGGACCATAGCCTCATCAACACTATGATTCTCCTTATGTGGACAGTGCTCAAGAAACCTCATAGTTAAAACTTTTAATAAAGGACGAACTTTTGCAAATTTATCGGATGTATCTAAATTTAGATTATCAGCAACATGAATATTAGAGTAAATTAGTGTAAATCTATCTCGAGACAAGGCTGAAGCAATCAAACTATTTCTTGAGTCAGATGCATTTTCCCAGTACATTCTTCTTCTGCTCACTTGGCAGTAGCCACTGACTAACAAAATCCCTACCAAACATTTCATCTCTTCAATCTTGACGTCAGCAGAGAGAAGCTTACGTGCTAAGTATCTATTGGTTTCAATAGTAAGCATCTCAAATACTTCTTCTGAAAATAATAAAGAAAACCATTCTATCGGGCTTCTTTCAATAGGAGTATGATAAAGGGGTTTCCAAACAATAGGTCTTAGCTGCAAGTCTCGTTTTCGCCAATTGTAATTCATGACACGTTTTTTTAAAGGTTCTTGAAATTCGGGAGGGGTTTGGTCCTCAGTTTCTGGTTTTTCCATTGAGGTTGAGGCAGCAAGCTCCGCTGGAGCTCGAAGCAAACTTCCAGGCAAATTATTTATGCTGACGTTATCTTCTTCACCCGAGTCCTCGTCAGTTTGGTAATCATTGGCGGTGTCAGGTGGAAGTAAAAAAATATCAAAATCTTGTCTCTGGTTGCTAAAATCATCATCTTCCTCAAGAACTGTAGCAATTTCATGTAATGTCAATGACCTAAAACAATAAAACACAAAAAGATAAATAAAAAGCTAATATAATAATATGTAAATTGACTTAGGTATTTTGTGCTCATACATAGACCTACTGTACCATATATGATACACCTAATCTAGCACTGTGTACACCTTACTAAAATGACCCAAGTGAAACTTATTTGTAGCTATTACGTCTATTGTAGCCTAGTATTTAAAATAATACCAACAAATAATATGATTTACTATAGATAACATGAAACTTACCTTCTTGAAGACATTGTAAATTGTTTTTTTCCGTTTCTGTCTAGCAATTTTAATATAAACTGATAATAACTCGCATAAAATGTGTATGTTATATTGTTGATATAAAACTAATACTCTGAGTTATCTGCCACAACTAACCAAAAAAAGTTAATAATTTGTGGGTACATCAAAATATTTTTACAAAGTAACTGTACCACATAGGGTACGGTAGGCCTATATGGGTTAAACAAATACATCGTTTCAGTCAATTCTAAAGGAATAGAGCGTATATGGAGACTAACACCCGTATTTATAAACAAGTAAAAGTAATTACTTCAGTAAAAGTAATTACTTAAATAACGATTTGTATTCGATAGTTAAGTAATTGCTCCATGTTAGAACTGTCAAAAGTTAGAATACTAATACTACTATTAGCCTAATACTACTAATAGCCAAGTAATAGTCACCATTTCCTTTACTTAAGCACTGCTTTGAGGTTATTTAGGATAAAAAATGGAAACTTTGGATAGCATTGGAACGGTTTTTGCTGTTGTAGACAATATAGATAATAATATTATATTAGAGGAGATAGAAATTGATTTTTTTAATATATATATATATATATATATATATATATATATATATATATATATATATATCGAATAAATAACCGTTTGAACAGAAATTAAACAAATAAGTATAATAATCAAACATTATATTTATGTTGTAAGTTTTACACTATTTACTTTTACACATTTAATTTTATTGAATAATTATTATCTCACATCTCCAACTCATCTCCCTTTATAGGAATGACAGGTGATTGCATAAATATGTCACTCTTTTTTCGGTATTATATAATTACTGCTAAATAAACCTCCTTACTTTAAAAGTTTAGACGTTATCTAACTTCGAAATTTTTTACGAATATTTATTTTCGGCGCCATAAAATTCGTGTTAATCGTCGTTCGTAAATTTTAACACAGGGAATTTTATGCATTCGAATTGTTGGTTATTTCGAAACCTTTGACAGTAAGCGAAAACATTGTTCATAATAATGAAGAACGATGTTTATGAACACAGAAACAACCACCAAGCGTAGAGTGTTACTTGGCATTTGCTCAAATAAGTAACGTGTGTTACTCAACTATAGAATGAGATTTTGGAATTAAGAATTCTAACCTTAAGTAATGACTTAACTAAGAAATTACTTAGCAACAAGTAATTACTTCTTTATAAATACGGGTATAAGTTTATTTGCTAAATTAGATAAAAGAAATTTTTCTCTTGCAAGTTTTATTACTTAGAATACTATTATATTGTTATCACAAGTGAAACGAAAAATATTCTCAGAAGAACTGTGTGCTTAACGATACTATGGTGAGTGTTGAGAACCGGACACCCTTTTAAATGAAAACGAGGCGTTCCTCAGTATCCTTCCTCAGTATCCTTAGTATTCGCGGGTTACAACGCATCTGCATTTTGATTCGTAATCGAGGATAGATGTAGATGTTTATCGGCCACAGCAACTACTTACCATCAGGTGGACTGTGTGCTCGTTTGTCACCCTTATCCTATAAAAAAATGGCGCAAAAGTGTTATTGACGTGGTAAAATAATGAACTTGTTGTATTTTTCATTCTTCATTATCCCGTAGAAATTCGCACCTGGGCATGAGCTTCCAGAATTCTGCGAATGATTTGCATGAAATGTCACGCCTGAGACTTATGTAGCAGCGGTAACAGAAGACTTTGACGCTTCTGTCTGTCTCGATATTTTACGTTAGGTGTGAACGAGATAGGTATACCGCCATTTATCGGAAGTCATATGATTTATTGTATTAGCATTTTTCATAGTCGTCTCTTTCGACACTAACAAGATGATATAATGTGATGTGTTCTCTAAGGCTGATAACACATGGAACGGCACTTGTTGTCATTTGAGACTGTTTACTATTATTATATTGCCAATTTCATCATCACCATAACAGCCCTTCACAGGTTCACTGCTGATCATAGGTTTTCCCCTAGGACTACCATAAAGCACGATCTTGAGTGACCCATCGACTTTCTGCATGTCCTATCACGTCACACCATGTAGTGGGAGGCCGCCCTACACTTCG